TACCTCAACCTCGTGGACTGGGGCAGCCAAAATACCCTAGGAGTAGGACTTGGATCATGTGTTTACATGTGGAACTCGAGTAGCGGTCGCGTTACCAAGCTCTGTGAACTTGGCGATGATTCAGTTACAAGTGTCAACTGGATACAGCGCGTAAGTTCTGCCATCTAGATCATATGCCGCACGTACTAATCTCCAGCAGGGCTCTCACATTGCGGTCGGAACCAACCGAGGCCAAGTACAAATCTGGGATGCGCAGACTCAGCGCCGTCTTCGCACCATGACAGGGCACACAGCTAGGGTCGGCGCCCTTGCATGGAACGAACACATCCTCACCTCAGGATCTCGAGACCGTACAATCTACCACCGAGACGTGCGTCAGCCAGAGCAATGGCTGCGCAAGCTTGTTGGCCATAAGCAAGAAGTCTGCGGCCTAAAGTGGAATCAGGAAGATCAGCAACTCGCATCCGGAGGCAACGACAACAAGCTCATGGTCTGGGACAAGCTCAACGCCGAGCCTACCTTTAAGTGGAGTGAGCATCAAGCCGCCGTCAAGGCCATTGCTTGGAGCCCACATCAGCGTGGTCTTCTCGCTAGCGGCGGTGGTACAGCAGACCGGACCATCAAGTTCTGGAACACCCTCGTCAGCTCCAGCGGCCCGTCAGCTTCAGCACTCGCCTCCGCATCGGCGGCCGCGTCAGCTGCAACTACTGCCAACGTACCTCTATCGCCTACTGCACCAGCAAACCTCATCAACAGTCTTGATACTGGTAGCCAGGTTTGCAACCTAGCATGGTCAAAGAACAGCAACGAGATCGTATCCACACACGGTTACAGTCAGAATCAGATCATCGTCTGGAAGTACCCGAGCATGCAGCAAGTCGTCTCGTTAACGGGCCACACCTACCGTGTACTCTATTTGGCCATGAGCCCGGATGGTCAGGTCATCGTCACTGGTGCTGGTGATGAGACGCTTCGCTTCTGGAATGCGTTCAAGAAGAAGGAGCGCACTGGAGGTCTTAGCAGTATGGATAGTTGGGGCGTCATTCGCTGAACTATTCTATCTGCTTTGCTCTTCTACTGATAGTGTACTATAGGACTGATGTCGAACCACGCCGAACCTCTTGTGAACCGGACCTCTGAAAGGCTTTTATGCTACTTATCAGATGGGATACTAACGTGTCTGTGTAGTTCATCACAGCACGCTATTGTTGCGGTTCACTCTGCGTTATTCACAGACACAGTCCACCTACTTCCTTTCTTCGACGATTTCAGCGGCATTTGTACGGTTATGATCAAAACTTCGGGTATTTTCTTATGAGCATGTGTGGCGTTCTGGGCGTTATAAGCGGCTCGATACCATGGGATCTTATTATGGGCGGCGTTGGTTCAGACAGCCAGGCACATGCTATAGTCTCGGGCTTGGGTGGTTTATCTGATATGGACCTAAAGGTTATTACTTCCTGGCCATTGTGAATGCCATATTCTTCTATCTAGGCACTCAGATGAGTAGTGCTTCTTTGCATTTGCTTCGACGACCATTTCAGGGCTGAAGCTGGAGTTCAAGGTTCTATGGATCACAGCCTTTTGGGTACATGGCCGTCGATTGGCTTGGGCTGGACTTTTCATGATCACGATTGTACATTAGTAGCTCAGATATCACGCAAATCAAGCGTGAAACTTCAGAACAAGCTTTTCCTCATCCTGCAGTCGGTGCGAGGGAGTCGTGGTGTGAAGGAGGAGGGGCAATAATTCCAACAAGTGTAGAGAGGAAACATGCCCATCTGACGGGAGCCGTATTTGTTAGCTGGACGAACTTCATAGTCAGCGAGGTAAATTCTAGTGGAAGTGCCGGTGCGTAAAATGTCATGCGGTTTCGTACACGATCGTCTAGGAGGGGTTCTATCCGAAGTGTCCCCGATATAGTCTTTTAGTATGCTAAACTTCGCGACTTTAAGTAAACATACGTAAATCGTTCTCACGATTCTGAGATCCTGAATGTCTTCTTCTATTCCACAGACGCTTAGGTGATGAGGATCGAGTGGAAGTTCTGGGGTAACAACTATTGGGTAAATCTGGGGTAAAGCAAAGACCGCGGCAAATGATGCCCGACTAGGCATTCCGCGGGTACGTATCTTCAACGACAAGTGCTGCAATTAGCCGGCAGATGACCCGAATATCGGTGGTTCCGCCGCTGAGGCTATTCATCAGTTGCCGACAGCCCCACCATAAGAGAAGACATCGGAATGTCGGAAATGCAACCGGAACGACGAGGGGAAGTTGCATCATCGCTCATATCACGTCTCTCTTTCCTCACTCTTCTGTCTCTGAATTGACACATTCATATCAAACCTAAACTTGAAAGTACGCACAAAACCATCACCATGGCCCCCGACCTCTCCCAAAACAAAGCCGTCAAGCTCGTCGCCCACGCCGCCGCAAACAAATACGCCATCTGCGCAACATGCTGCTACAACGTTGAAGGCATCCTCGCCTCAGTCCGCGCAGCAGAAGCAAAGCGCGCACCACTAATCATCCAACTCTTCCCCTGGGCCCTCAACTACGCCGACGGCATCCTCCTGCACGCCGCCCGCGAAGCCGCCGACAACGCCTGCGTCCCCGTCGCCCTGCACATGGACCACGCGCAAACACCTGAAATCGTGAAGAAAGCAGCGAACTTCAAGAACGGCTTCGACGGCATCATGGTCGACATGAGCCATTTTGACGATAATCTGGAAAAGACGGCGGAGTTGGTCAAGTACTGCAATGAGCGCGGTATTATTACAGAAGCCGAACCAGGCCGTATCGACGGCGGCGAAGACGGTGTCGGCGACCTGAGTGAAATGGGTCTAGAAGCCATTCTCACCACCCCAGAACAAGCAGAAGAATTCGTCGCAACAGGCATCAACTGGCTCGCCCCCGCCTTCGGAAACGTACACGGCAAATACGGTCCTAAAGGCCCTCAACTCGATTACCCCCGTCTGCGCAACGTACACAGCAAAGTAGGGGACCGCGTTGCTCTCGTGCTGCACGGCGCGGGTAAAGAGTGGTTCCAGGAGAAGCTGCTCAAGGAGTGCATTGAGTGTGGTGTTGCGAAGGTCAATATTAATGATGCGTTTAATAATGATTTCATCGATGTTATGAAGGAGCAGGCGGGCCTAACGCCGATCACGGGGTTGATTGAGAAGGCGACGGATGCGATGCAGAAGAGTATTGAGAGTTATATTGAGTGGATGGGTGGGGCGGGTATGGCGGATAAGATTACGTTGTAGATGGTGTTGTGGGGTTGAATGTAGATAGAAGATGTACATGTGTTGATTGCCGATGTATCAGTAATACAAGTGTAGAGCTGTTGAAAATGAATGTCGATAGCGCGGGAATCGCAACCTTTTCTCCATACCGAGCTGTGTGTAATGGATCAACGATCCGACGAAACAAGGTTTTCGGCCGAAAGAACGTCTATATATCGCGACGATCCGACCATCATCGTGGCTAGTCTTGCGAGGACGTCAGTGAATGTCAGCGCTTTCCTGTGATTACTGATCGTAGTACTAGCATCTTCGCGTCCATGCGCGTCTCGGGCTACTCAACAAACCTATCAACACGACTAAACATCAAGGAAATCTGGAGTGCATAAGAGACTCACTGTTTCCGCGCATCAAGAACCAAGCAATCCGCTGAATTCCACAAAGAACGAACTTGTCATTGGGAAACCTCACAACCAATCATGCCGGCAAACTACTCCCTCCACGCCATCCCTGTATACTGGATCATGGCTCTCTACCCACATATGTACTCTGTACGTTCCACTTCTCCATCCTCCATCCTCCGCGAACACCATCCTCTTAACCCCACACTAACACCCCCCCTCAGCAAGGTCTCTTCAAAGCCGCCACAAACGGCCAACGCAACAACACAAACCCACGCGGCGCCTCAACACTAGAACACTATCGAAAATGCACCCCAGAAGCCGTCTACACGAAAGCAGAACGCGCAGAAGCTTGCCACCAGAATAGTATGGAGAACGCGCCGTTTTTCATTGGGGCGGTGTTGGCGGGGAATGCGGTGGGGTTGGATGTTGGTAAGTCTTTTTTTATGCTATGAATGAGTCGTTGGTGAGACTTTGTAATCGATGAGCTTGGGAGGGATGGATGGACGTTTGTGTACTATTGGGCGAATGCTGAATATATGCTGATCATGAAACTAAACAGCAACGATGAACACCATGGTAGCGTCGTACATCGGTCTACGCGTCATCTACAGTTTCCTGTATGTGAAGGTTGAGAAGAACAAGACGAGTTATCTGAGGAGTGGGACGTGGGCTGCCAGTGTGGCGGTATTGATGACAATGTTTGTCAAGGCGGGGAACAAGATGAACAGGAGTCTTGGGATGTAAGAGCGGGATTCCAGTTCGCATATATGGTCTACTAAAAGCGGGGATAAAGAAAAAAAAAAGGACTCAGAGACCAATTCCGGGAGAGGTCTGGAGAGATCAAACGATTGCAATTTTGGTAAAAGAATGGAACCCGTCGCTAATATCAATGAAAGAATGTCGTAAAGAATGACAACACATCTACCATCTCTGACATACACGCTCTTCATCCCCAAAGTTCCTTCTCGCCAACCGTCCATCTCAGAAACTCACTGCGGCCAAGCACACAGTCCACCACAATCCGAGCCGCCATTCAACGGATCACAGTCGTCCCTCGGATCATCAACACAGATCTGGCCTGGGATATCACACTCAAAGCCCGCAAAACCACCGCACAGCTTCTCGCTGACACATATACCCAGCATATCGCAAGCAGGACCGCAAGAGCCAGGCGTGAAAGGGTCAGTGATGCAAGTCTGGCCTGCGGGACACTCTTGAAGAGGACTTGCGCGACCGCCGCCACAGATCTGGTTGGTGGGGGTAGCTTGGCGAGGATTGACGGGGGTAGGAATGGGTATGATGCTGGTTGAGAATGTTGTGCTGGCGTCGGGTAGACATATCTGATGTATTGTTAGATTGATTCAGACTTTTTAGTAGCAAGTTGGCTTACTTGGGGTACGGGCTTCTCTCCACCACAAAGCTCATAGCATCTCTGTGCAGAAGCATTCAGGCATTCACATAGCTCAGGCTGTGTCGAGATGCAGTTGACCAGAGGGCATTCGCACACTGGAGGAGGAGGAGGGGGAGGAGGAATGGGCGCAGGAGCAGGCTCTGGCTCTGCTACACGAGCCTCGACGGGGATTGGAGGGCAGGTCGAGGGAGGTGGTGCGGGCTTGCCACACTTTGCGGCGCACCTCACTTCCGCGTTGTAGAAGCACCAGCAAGACTGGGGCCATTGTGCGATGCAAACTACGGGCTCGCATTCGCATGTCTCTTCTTTTGGCTCAGCTACGGGTTCCGGGGCCGGCTCTGGTTCTGCGTTGCGAGCTTCGATGGGACGAGGTGGGCATGTGTCGACAGGCACGGGGTTACCACATTTCTCGGCACATGCTGCCGCGGCATCGTAGGCGCACCAACAAGATTCGGGCCAGGATTGAATGCAGAAGACGGGCTCACAAGTGCAAACCTCGGCCTCAGGCTCTGGCTTTGCTTCTGGCACGGGCTCTGGCTTCGCTTCGCGAGCTTCGACGGGGCGAGGAGGGCAGAAGTCAGGCGGCGCGGGACCACCACATTTCTGGGCACACGCTACCGCTGCGTCGTAGGCGCACCTACAAGACCCGGGCCCAAGGCAGAAGACGGGCTCGCATTCGTATGTCTCTTCTTGCGGCTCAGGTACGGGTTCCGGCACGGGCTCTGGAGCACGAGGTGCGATATCGATACTGCAGTCCTCGTAAATCGGCTCTGGGCCACCGCATTCCTCGAAGCATTTTCTCGCGTTGTCGTTGCGACAGTAGCAGCCCTCAGGGAAAGCTAGAGTGCAATCCGCTTCCGGGCACCAAATACAGACTTGATCTTGTGGCTCCGGTACTGGTTCCGGTACGGGCTCTGCGGCACGAGGTGTGAGATCGACGCCACAGTCCTGGTAGATTGGCTCCTCGCCACCACACTTCTCGAAGCAGGCCTTGTCCGCGGCATTACGGCAAAGACAGCTTTCGGGTATAGATTGGATGCAAACCACGTCCTCGCATACGCAAATAGGTTCTGGCAATGGCACCGGCGTTGGTGTTGGTGCGGGCTGGGGGCTTATGATGTCGACAGTGCAGTCGTCGTAGGTTGGCTCTTCACCACCGCACTTCTCGAAACACGCTTTCTTCGCGTCGTTGCGGCAGTAGCAGCCCGCAGGCCAGGACAAGATGCAAAAGACTTCTTCGCAGACACAGGTTTCATCTTGGGGTGCTGGTACAGGCGCAGGTACAGGCTCTGCAACAGGCTCCGGCTCCGGGGCGCGAGCTTTGACGGAGTCAATTGGAATACTGCAGTCCTGGTATGTCGGCTCCTCCCCGCCGCACTTCTCGAAACACGCCTTCTTCGCGTCGTTTTGGCAGTAGCAACCTTCAGGGAATGACAGGATGCAGAAGACTTCCTCGCATACACATTCGGTGGGTGTGGGCTCTGGCGCGCTTACGGTCGTGGATGTCGGTGCTGGCAACCTAGGGCAGTGCTAAATCTGTAATCAGCATTGTGATGTCCTTGGGTGAGATCCTAGCTTACCAGAATACGGGGCTCGTATTCGGGGCATCTCGCCTTACAATCGTACTCTCGCTGGTTGAGGCACACGCATGCATCCTGTAAAAATTATCGTTAACAATTGCCGTCGTCTGTTTTAACAAGAGGGTGCATACCAATGCACTGTCGCCGGGGCAGTTAGGTGGTGGGCATGTCGCTACACAGCTGTCTGGCGGCGACTCCAATGCACGCCCAAGGGCGCTTCCGAAAAGAGGAAGAAGGAAGAAGAGAAGCTTCATTGTCAACAAGAAGAAGACCACTAATCAATAAGAATGCGGTGGTACCGGAAGATGTCTTCGAGGTTGAACATTGAGAAGGTAGAGATCGGACCGGATATATATTCGGAAAGCACGTTGGACGCCCTGAAAGCATACTTGGTCTCACCTACCAGCGTAGTCATCTTACACTCATCGCCAAGGAAGCCTATAAGACATGTCAGAGTCGCAGAGTGGCCTCAGGAGACCAGACGACGCCTTCCGAAGCCACCAAACTTTGTGTTCTGGCGAACACGAGTTCACAGCTGCCATCCAAGCTCTTGGCGGTTCGTCCTAGGCATGCGCGTTCCGCTATGTGATGATGCTGCATTTTTCGTATAAGGAAGTACCCTCCAGCCACTACCTAAGACAACACCAACAGTGTCGTCAGACGGGGCGATGTTTTATTTCGGTCAAAAGTCCGGTAATTGCGCAATGATGTTTGGATGTTTAAGCTCATGCTAGGAGCAAGCGCGAAACCGTGACGTGAGACCAAAATTAGCACTAGTTAACTTTCCGCATACCCGCGCAACATGAATAATGTTATCGATTGCGGGGTGCAGATCATGATAGAAGAGGCCTTCGGATCCAGGCACCGTCGCACGTTGCAATTGGAGTCAGCTCTCATTTGCTTCCTGTTGGGCGGGACGGCATATTGATTGAACGGAGGCTTTTGCGGCTGAAATACGACAACTCTGTATGGGTATATTAGGTACTGTATATGCATGCCGGGTATTCAGTCGAGGGTTCCCGGGGTTCCATCTCTCAGCCGGGACGTCGTACGCCCTTCCATTCGTCTTGCCTGTCGCAGGGTGATCTCACGTGGTGTGGCCGCGAAGCACATGGCCATTGGCCAAGCTATGCTGATGGTGAGGAAAGTCGCGGTGGAGGACGAATCGGGTCTGCTGTCCTCGAAGCTCGACGATGAGAGGTCCGCGGGTGAACAAATCTGGCAAAAGTGACGGACGGATGCGAGAGAACGCGGGTGATTTGAGCTCAGGGATGACTTACGCGGGCCGCTGACGCCAAGGCGCTAGGCCGTCGTTCTTGCCATGAGCCTGGTTATATTTCCGTACTACGTCAGACGACGCTCATCTTCACACGCATTGGTCGTACTACTACGCAGTGCAGCAACATGCGAAGCTGAGGCTCTCGTGTAAGAAGGACTAGTCAATACAACCCCTACTGAGCTTTCACTAGCGGAGCTCCAGCAACTGTAAGGAGTGACTTATCGATTGAGTAGGGTGCGTAAGTTGTCTAAGGCTATGCCAAGTCGTTCTCAAGCGAGCCACTCGCTGACGTGTAATTATGTCTATGACCAATGCAAGCTCAGATGCAACGCCGGTGTGCTTCCCAGGGGTATAGGCCTTCAATGCAACCAAGAACCATCATATGAAACCGTAACTCATTAATAGCGAAATCACCTATTTCTGTCAACGTCTTCAGGCGGAGACCGTCGCTGGAGGCCAGTCGTCGTTCGGACCGCGTCGACGCCGCGCCAGACTACAGTAGAAACAGACGAAGCTAGCTCACGCAATGAGGGACCCGCTTCGGAACCTCGCGGGATCTCCCCAGAGGTGCGCCGAGAGTTGTCCCCAGACCAGCCGGCTTCAATATCGTCATCACGCGGAGATGGATCGGCGGGCCCAGATCTAGACATGGGTACAGGTCGTGACGCGGAAGGTGACATGTTGCGAGTCTCCGCAGCTTCCGTCTGTACGTCTTCTTCGCTGATAGATAGTCGGGGCGAGCGCGTTGGTGATGCTGACTGTAGCCGATCGTGCCAGCTTCGACTCAAGGAACGTACAACATCGCCTTTGCAGATGGGGCAAGTCCTCCGGCGCGTGACAAGCCAAGGTGTTCTACTCACGTCAGATCGGCTGTGTCGATAGGATGGAAAAGGTACTTACATGCAATCCGCATGAAACTCATGGCCACACGGTAAGCTCATGACCTGACTGACACCATCGACGTACTCTTCCAAACAAACAACGCATTCTCGTTGACGGCCTCCATAGCGTCGTCTCCACGCCGCCAGCCCAGATTCTCGCTTTTCTTCTTCGCGGTCACGAGATGCATGCTGCACCGATGTCGACGTGGCGGGAGTCTCTGACACGGTAGTCGAGCGCGATCGAGATTCGGGAGATCTAGAACGTGTTGCAGAATGCTGAAGTAAGGGAGTAGTAGGTGAAGCAGCGCTAGATGTTGCCGCGGACGAAGAATCGCTTATTGTCTGATAGGTCCTGACAGGCAAACGCTCAACAACGGATTTGGGTGCCCTCCAACGGCGACGTCGTATACGAGATCTAAGAAGAAGAAGGGCGTACACGACTGTCAGAGTGACCAATGGGCTGACGACGAGTACGAGTAGAGTGTCGAAGAAAGGACTACTTGAAACATTCGTGGGCGTAAGCGTGACCCACAGGCCTTGGTGAGCACTAGTCGCAGACGAGGATGTTTTGATAGACGCGGAGTGGACATCGATGATCGAGGTAATGCTCCTAGTGCGCGCACGACTCGATGACGCTGAAGACGCAGTGCTGTGTTTAGAGCCAGACCACCAGCTCCAAGGGCTCTTCACACCGGTCTTTGCCTTGGCTGGGGTATACTCACCACTGCCAGGCAAGGCATTGCTACCTGCTTTGGTACTCACTGGAGTTGCGCTAGCTGCTTTTGTGGATGCACTTGTAGTTGCAGTGAGTGGCAAAAGGTCAGGATCGCGCCAGTCGTGTTCGCCGATGACGAAACCGTCAGCGAGTTTGGTGGGGATTGCCGTGGGCACTGCCGATTTTGTCTTGATGGGGTTTTGGTCATCTTCCCAATCACTGACCTCGACCCATTCCAGGTCACCGCTATTGGGAAGTCGTCGGCTGCCAGCCTTGGGAGAATTATTGCTTAACCCATGACCAAAAAATGCAGAGAGGAATGAGTGCCAGAAGCTAGTGCGCTGTCCCTCCGTAGTCTTCTTTTTGGATGGTAGCGAGTGTTGCTTCCCGTGAGCCGGAGTCTGGACAACTTGTGGCGCTTCTGAAAGAGTCGCATGCCTTTCAGTGTCTTTGACGCTGGCATGAGGGGCCGCAGAATCTGAAAGCATGCCGTCTCCTGGGTAGAGTGAAGACAAGAGATGCGCGGTTGTGTGCGAAGTAAACAGGGACGGGATCGTGATATTAGAGGTGTCACCTTTGGCGTACATACGAACGAGGGCGCCGCCACGCACGTCGTCACCAACGATGACGGCCACTCCTCCACGCGATTGTGCCCATTGAACTTTGGCCAAGAAACCACAACCCCCTCGCTTGAGGAGTACAACCTTGCCAGCAATTTCAGCACTCTCTTGTAGTGATTGTATATCGGCGTGTTTGCTTCGTGGCAGTATGTGGGTGCTGGAAAGCCCTGGTTGCAGGTGATCGTCCGTTCCATCGTCCGCAACGGCGTCCTTGGTGTTGTCTTCGCTAAGGCCAGGTGCTCCCTCTTTCGAAGGCAAGTTTCTGTCAAGCGTGGTGTCCTTTGCTTTTCCTTTGGAAGAGCCCGATGGCCGTGAAGCCCGCATGAGGTCATCGTTGCCATCTTCCCAGCCCGGAACGTCGCTGCAACCCAGCTCGCCGCCGGCGCCCATGGAGTCATCTCCAAACCCGCTACCGATCCATAGAGAGCCGCTCAAGCCTCCTTTGGGTAGCGCCGGGCCGAAGGCAGCGGGTCGGGCGAGGAAGAAGGTCGAATTGTCGTCGGTCAAACTGATAATCGCGGACGGCGGGAACAACGAGCTGGGAAATGGTGAAGAGAACATGGCTTTGAAACTGCCTCGGCTCGACGCAACTGAGATGCGTTCCTGTTCTTCATTTTGCGATGTTCCCACGACCATGTATAGAAGGAGCGTGATGGCGACCAGGCTCGTCGACAGCGAAAGCAGTAGGCGGAGAGGGCGCATGCTTGCGGAAGCAGCCGGGCGGCGACAGGAGGAGGTGAAGAAGGGAAGAACAGCAAGTAGTGCTGGATTTCTAGGAGTGTAGAGGCATCGACTGAGATCAGGAGACAGACGGGATGTGGTCCTGTCTAGGGTCACGCGGGCGAGTGAAGGGCAGGAAGCGATGGATGATGCGGCAATAAACGGACGTCAAGGTCGTCACTACTCGGGTGGCGCGAGACAACGAACGGCGCACATGTGCAGGAAGAGCTGGCGCAGCGATTACAGCACGGGAAACGCGTTGGAGACAGGCGATAAGGAAGCGCGTGCTCCAGAGTGAAAGGCTGGTGGGCGCCCGATGATGTCGTGATGCGAGACCCTGGTGCAATCGGGGCACGGGCACCACGGCCAGCTGCGCGTGCGCGCAGTGAGTGCCAAGCATGCCATTCCCCGCACTCGACCATGCTAGAAACGTCAGAAACACCAAACACCACGTCTGCGTTGTCATAATGGTCCATGGCTTCATTTCGCCTTTCGCGATGGAGTGCCTGATGATGAGCGACTCGTTGTCTGGGTCTGCGTACCGCCTCCTCTCGCTTTCGTCCAGAGCGTGCCGACAGGAAACGACCAGTCTGCAAACATCCTGTAGCTCTAAGGACTCATCGACTAGATTGGCATGAGGAGAAGATTTAAACGGCAAAGCTCCGTGGTAGAAGCTCAAGCTTTGCGCAAATAGATGCACTCACCCTTTCCCAAAGTTACACACGGCCGTCACCCACCCGACTTTGGCGGACATGCTCTCCTCGTCACATCTGCAATGGCGAGAGTGGAGGTGAAGCAGATATGGATGGACAG